GGGTACATGCCCTTGACCAGAATCGAACCTGGGACCCTTCAGTCTACAGGTCGCTGCTCTATCCACTGACCCAAACCAGTTAGGTCAGGGCTGGATTTTTAACCATTATTTTCTGCAGCATCAGACACAGTCTCTACCAATGATGTGCAGCCCTCACTGGAGCAGGTATAGTATGAGTACCACAGTGGTTCAGCTGCAACTCCTATTTCCATGGTTTCAGTTAGGCCTTTCCAACCATTCCCTTTACACCTCTGAGTACTAACCCTTGGCCTCCCTGTGTTCAGGGGAACGCCATCATTTCTCAGCTGCAGTGGTTTCTCTAGGGAAACCTTCTTTCAGAGTAAGCTGCTGTTCGTCTGCCTCCCCTTTGATCCCGGAAAAGAGTTTGACCCACATGATACCTGGGTAATTTGGGCTGGTCTCTGTACCTTCACCCACATGTTGGGTGTCATGCTGTGATCCCACGCACTGCGATGATTTTCTTGCCTCAGTTTGACCTTCAAATGATTTTCCAGTCTCTTCCCGCATCCCCCTCACTCCTTTCCCCCCCAAGAATAGTCATTCCACTCCCTTTCTATGCCCCTAATTCTATTATAATCACCAGTTCATAGTGTTCATCAGATTATTCACTTGATTTTCAGATTCACTTGTTGATAGATGTGTATTTGTTGTTCATAATTTGTATCATTAACTTTTTCTTCTTCCTCTTCTTAAAGGATACCTTTCAGCATTTCATATAATACTGGTTTGGTGGTGGTGAACTCCTTTAGCTTTTTCTTATCTGTGAAGCTCTTTATCTGACCTTCAATTCTGAATGACAGCTTTGCTGGATAAAGTAGTCTTGGTTGTAGGTTCTAGGTATCCATCACTTTGAATATTTCTTGCCAGTCTCTTCTCGCCTGCAAAGTTTCAGTTGAGAAATCAGCTGACAGTCATATGGGTGCTCCCTTGTAGGTAACTGACTTTGTTTCTCTTGCTGCTTTTAAGATTCTTTCTTTGTCTTTTGCTCTTGGCATTTTAATGATGATGTGTCTTGGTGTGGTCCTCTTTGGATTCCTTTTGTTTGGGGTTCTTTGTGCTTCCTGGACTTGTAAGTCTATTTCTTTCACCAGGTAGGGTAAGTTTTCTGTCATTATTTCTTCAAATAGGTTTTCAATATCTTGCTCTCTCTCTTCTTCTGGCACCCCTATAATTGGGATGTTGGTGCACTTGAAGCTGTCCCAGAGGCTCCTTACACTATCTTCGTATTTTTGGATTCTTTTTTTCATTTTGCTTTTCCAGTTGGGTGTTTTTTGCTTCTTAGTATTTCAAATTGTTGACTTGATTCTTGCGATCCTCTGGTCTGTTGTTGGGATTCTGTATATTATTCTCTATTTCACTCAGTGCATGCTTAATTTCTAGGTGGTCCTTTATCACACCCTCGAGGGTCTCATTAGATTTCTTGAGGATCTCACTATATTTATCAGCAGTTTCTAGAAAATTCTTGAAAAGCCTTAAAAGTGGGGTTTTGAACTCTATATCCAGTAGTTTGCTTTCCTCCTTTTCTGTCATTTGTGTCCTTTTTCTTTGTCTCCGCATTTTATATGCTTCCCTTTGTTGATAAAGTGGTTTTCTGCGCTAAGTATCCTCTAGGGCCCCGTGGTTCAGCCTCCCCAATTACCTGGGGAGGTTACTCTTGGTGCACCCTCTTGTGGTCTTTGTGCACAGTCTTGTTGCAGTTAAGCCTTGATTGTTGTAGGTATCACTGGGAGGAATTGACCTCCAGTCCAATTGGCTATGAGAATCTGCTGTGTCTGCAGTTGGAGAACTTCTGTGCTGGAGACACCCCTCCCGGGCAAGACTTGCTTCAGTGGGGCTTTGGTGCTCCCTGAGACTGCCCCCTGAGTGTGTCCTTTACGGTTCCATGGAGCTGCAAACTGGATGGTCCCACTCTGACCTCTGGGTTTCCTGGCTCCTGGATCTCTAGGGAGGTCCTAATCTAGCCTCTGCCTTAGGCTATCCAGCAAAAGCCTCCCTGTAGGGCTTGGGCGGGGCGGGTCCCAGGGTATCAACAGGGCGGGGCTAGTGGTTATGGCTGCTCTCAGAGGCTCTGCTTCTTAGTGTCTGGGCAATCTCTGCATGCCCCTCTGAAAGAAAGCTGCCCTCGAGTTACATGGAGGGGTGTCAGCATTTACAGGGACAGAGTTGACTGAAGACAGATTTACAAATAAATTTAGAGCCAACCCAGAACACAGCAAGCTAGAGCTTTCTTGTTGCTGCCAGAGAACTGAAGAAAATGCTCAGTGGCTTTGTTTGGTATGTATGTGTGAGTGTGTTTGTGTTTCTTTAATCTTCAGCCAAGGGTGTTTATTCTCTCTCTCTCTCTCTCTTTGTTTTTTACCCTCCCTCGAGTTCCATCTGAGATTCTGCACTCTCTTCCATGCTTCCCTGTCTCTGGATCCACTCCATTCTTCAGTTAATTTTGTTAATTTGGTTTCATCCATGTGTGTGATCAAGAGATGCTTTTCTTTCTCTGACTGACTTCTTTCACTTAGCAAGATGCTCTCCAGGTCCCTCCATGCTGTGTGAACGGTTAAGAAATACTTCCTTTTTACCGCTGCGTAGCATTCCATGGTATAAATGTACCACAGCTTTCCTATCCACTCTTCTACTGATGGACATTTGGGCTGATTTTAAATCTTAACTATTGTAAATTGTGCTGCTATGAACATAGCAGTGCATACATTCTTTCTGATTATTGTTTCAGGCTTATTAGGATATATTCTTATTAGTGTGATAATAGGGTCAAATGGCAGTTCCATATTTAATTTTTTTTAGAAAACTCCCTATGTTTTCCATAATGTCTGCACCAGTCTGCATTCCTACCAGCAGTGTACTAGGGTTCCCTTTTTACCATATCTTCACCAGCACTTGTCCTTTGTTACCGGTAGCCATGCTGACCGTTGTGAGGTGGTATCTAATTGTTGCTTTAATTTGCATCTCGATGATCAGTGTCTTTCACCATTTTTTCACATGTCTCTTGGCCATCTCATCCACATTGCAGCCCAGGCAGAGCTGACACTTCGAATGACCCCAGAAGCAGATGCTCTTAAATAGTGATGTCTGTTTTGAGACATTAACTTCGTTCAATGGAGGCAGGTTAGATGAGTTAGACACTTGAGCAAACTCTGCAAGCTACATTTAGCCTGAAGGAGACAGATGCCTAATGGCCTGATGCCGGGAGCCGGTCCATCCTTGCTGTTTCAAGGGACCTGGCATATATGGCATACTGTTCTTAATATGTTTGCTCACCTTCTTGGTGCTACGTGTTTTAACCAAGGTCACCTCTCCGAGAAAGGTTGTTTCCCCAGGTAGGGATTTTCCCCTGAAGTTAGGAAGGGGATACAACCCCTTAACTAAGTGCCAGGCGGGTAGTTAATCACTTTAACTACAAACAATCACACTTAAGCTATATAATCTTTACTTCCTGGAATGGAGATAAGAAACACCCTAACCTTTGGAATAGAGATTGATAGGATTGGAATCAACTGGCATAAATACAGATGTAACAAGACAATAAAAGACAGAACCTAGAGACAGGACTTGGCTGGAGATCCTATACAGAACCTAGAGACAGGACTTGGCTGGAGATCACACACAGAACCTAGAAACAGAACCCAGCGAGAGAACCTGGAGACAGAACCTAGAGACAGAACCTACACAGAACCTAGACACAGAACCTAGAGACAGGACTTGGCTGGAGATCCTAGACAGAACCTAGAAACAGAACCTAGCCAGAGAACCCAGAGAACCTACAGACAGAACCTGGATAGAACATGGCAAGAGAACCTGACTAGATCCTAGCGACAGAACCTGACTGGAGATCCAGGCTAGAACCTGCCTGGAGAACCTAGAGAGAACATGGCAAAAGATCCTGGACATAACCTGGCTACATAACCTGGCCACAGAACCTAGAAACAGAACCTAGCTAGAGAACATGGGCATAGAACCGGGCTAGAACCTGGCTGAAGAACCAAGAGACAGAACTTAGAAATAGAACCTAGTGAGAGAACCCAAAGAAGAACCTAGAGACAGATCCTACACAGAACCTAGAGGCAGAAACTAGAGACAGGACTTGGCTGAAGAACCTAGACACAGAACCTAGAGACAGGACTTGGCTGGAGATCCTGGAGGGAGAACATCGCTATGCTGATCAACTGAATGCTACCTCCGTGTCCTTCCTTCTTCGCCGACTCCGTCCACACCTTTGTGGACCCCTGGACCTGCTGGGGTTGGACCCCAGCAGCCTGAAAGAAGACACAATGCCTGCCATTCAAAAAAGAGCTGGTCCTGAAGAAAGATATGCAAAACCAGCAGCTAAAGGAAGCCATGCGGGTGCCTAAGAAACAAACTTATCCTTGAAATCACCTCCCCTGAAGGCACTGAGGGTCCTGAGTATTGATAGATCCTCCCTTCCCCCAACTGGTGGGCGGGGTATGACGTAACCTGCAGCCCAGAAATACCAGAGTGACTAACCAGGTACCTTATATGGACTATACATTGGACCACCAATCCACACCTGCCAAATACCCTAAGCCCTTGTCCTATATGGACAATGCAGTAAGCCACCAATAAGTGTGCGCCGAGTACACTAAGCCCTCCACCCCTTCCCATTCCGCCCCTCAAAAGGCGTGCCCACCCCTGCAGGTGCTGCTGTTCTCCCCTTGCTAGGCAGCCTGGCAGGTGCTTCTCCTCTAATAAAGCCTGTAGTCCCGGTCTTAGGCCTCCGTCTGATCTTTCAAGTATACTTGGTGTTTTCTTGGGCTATTTGCTCTCAAAACCAGTCCTGGAATCAGCTAAGGAAATACAGGCTAATGGCTGTGGAGGCTGGGAACTACATTACCCAGAAGGCGGCGCGTGGAATGCCACCAGCCTGAGCCAATGGGAGCTAGGGAAGGGCGTTTCCGTTTTTCAAGTTCTGGTGTGCGGGACCGTTAGTCTGTTCTTCATTTTGTCTTAAGCGGTCGGCAGTACCTGGTCGCAGAGTCCCGTGGAGAAGGCTGGAGAGTGGTGCTCCCCGCCTCGAAGCCAATGGTTTGAGCCTCCAGTGGTGCTCACAGCTCACAGTGGGATTGAAGCTCGGAGTCGCCACCAGACCCGCCCAGGGCCGGGACAGGGACCGCCATTCCTGCAGCGGCTTCTGCTCCCGCCCGGCTCAGCCCACGACGGCAATGGCGGCGCCCCCGATGAGGAGACGGGCTGAGGTGAGTTCGAGTCCCCCAGGCCCTCACCGCCTCCTCACACAGACACCACAGCCTGGGGAGGGCGCCTGTCCCGTCCTGCAGCTCAGTCCCGCGTGGAGGACCGTGAGGAAGGTGGAGGGGAGAGAGGAGTGTTGTGGCTTCTGAGGACACAGCAAGTGCAGGGCAGAGAGGACAGGGGTGACTTGCATCTGAATTTTCCCTGAGTCCGTGGGCTGTGAGTATTGACGGAAAGATCAGAGGCTGCAGGGAGGACGGCACAGCCTGATTCGGGGCTTATTCGAATGAGTGGGATCCATCAGGGGCCTGGGGTGGTCCTGGATCCGGCTGGACTGCAAGCTCTCTACCCGCCATATGCCAGGTTCATGGGTGAGTCCAGCGACACCCAGTGGCATTGGAGCAGGAAGGGGGCAGAGCTGAGGGAGTGAACCTGGGGTCTGAACATGGGAAGGGGATAAACATTACCCAGTGGTGAGCACATCTGGAGGAAGTGTGAGCTGATGGTCCCGGGACCTGGTGTGGGGACTTAAAGGTGAAGCATAAACCCACGCTTGGCTTTGTGTTGGAGGCAGGATCTAGGAGACTGCAGTGGTGTTGCTTGGCAAGAAGGCTGGGGCCCTGCAGGCATTGCCCAGACCTTAAATGGCATTGTCCTCCCCCCTCCCCTCCCCCAATCCTTCCCACCAACCCAGCTGCTCTGATGAGGGCCATCACAGTGAGTAATGGGACTGTGATGAGAGAGCAGCCTGCACTGGCATTAGGGCCTGGTGTCCACAGTAACCAGGGGCCCTGGAGGAGGTTGAGGGGGGAAGGTGTGTAAGGAGTAGAATTACTGGTTCTCAGAAAGGCAGGTCTGCTTACAATTGTCTCCATTCTGACAGGTTGGTGTGACCTTTGAGGACATTGCCCTGTACTTCTCCAGGGAGGAATGGAGCCTCCTTGATGAGGGTCAGAGACAGCTGTACCTGAATGTGATGCTGGACAACTTTGAACTTCTATCCTCGTTGGGTAAGACACTCACTCTCATCAGTGACCTGGACTTGGCTTTGAAGTTTCCCAGGCCCCATCCCCCAGGGTGTGCTCTGTCCTCCCAGGTAGACTGTGGTACTGTTTGATTTTCCAGTTACCTGGGTAGTTGCTGTCCTGGCGAGGGTTGGTCTGCTTCTGCTGCTCCCTTCTATTCCTGAAGTCCCAATACTCCCCGCTGCACTAAATTCACAGGGAAGGACTTGTGGTTGGTAGTGTTGTTGATATCTAAGGGATTCCACCTAAAGTAGTGAAGGAAGCATTTTCTGAAGAAGAAGGGAAAAAAAAAAGAAAGCATTTTCTGTATTCCTATTTGTCATGTGTAAATATTATTTGAAAAATTGTCTCTACATACTTATCCAGTTTATTAACTAATTTTTTTTGTTAAAGAATCTTTGGAATACCATGTATATTTTATATATTAATTGCTTTTTTGATACAGGAACACATATTTTTGCATGTGCTTAATTGTGCTTTGCAGATATAACTCCCCCACACCTGCTTTTCTACGAAGTCCATGTTGTTGGCAACCCTGCATTCTGCAGGTCTAGTGCCACCGTGTTTCTAGCAAGCTCAGATGCTTGTTATTGGTGCTTAGCAATTAAATATTGTTAGTGAAATTATATAGACTTTGCTTTTGAGGCAGAGTCATTGCTTTGTTCTTAGCCAGCAGTATAGTGTTAACATACCTTCATTATTCCCAGGGAACTCCAACTATTTGTGTGAATTTCTGTCTATATCTCAGTATTAGCTTTATTGTGCTAATCAGAGCTGAATCCACAATATCTCCAAGAGATTCCTTCATATGATGTGCAAGTATTTTCTCCCGTCCTCTTGATTGCCTTTCATTGCGTTTTGTTTATTGCTGTTGTGCAGTGAAGGCGCTGTTTTTCTTTATTTGTTGCAATCTGAACTGTTTATATTTTCTATTTTGTGTGGTGGTTGGTGTCACATTCAGGAAATCCTGTCCAAAACAAATCTTCAAAACGTTTTCTCTAGGTTGTCCTGAAGAATTTTAAGTTTTAGCACTGACATTTAATTCTGTCCTGCAGGTTGAGGTAAATTTTATCAGCAGTGTCCAGTTTTGTTGTTTTACATGGGAATGTTGATTATTACCAGCCCCATTCATTGAAGAAACTATCTTTCCTTCCTTCTGTGGCTGTTGCTTTGTCAATGATACTTGAAAGTCTGTGCCTGGGCTTATTTTTGTGTTTTTTGTTCTGTTCTGTTGATGTATGTGTCTGTGTTTCTCCAGCAACACACTGTGTGCTTGCTTTGTCTTTGTAATAAATTGAAGCCAGGAAGAGTGATGCTACCAGCTTTGCTCTCCCTCAAGATTGATTTTGTTGATGGAGGTTTTGATTCCATTGCAAGATTCTCTATTGATGTTTTTGTAAAATGCCATTGGAATTATTGGGATCGCATTTAATCTTTAGATTGCTTTGTGTACTACAGCTGTCTCCAGCATATTTCATTTCCAGATCCATGAACACAGGTTGTCTTTCAAGTTATTTGTGTTTTCTTCCATTCCTTTCCTCACTGTCTTATAGTATTCACTGTACAGATGTTTCACATTTTGGTTGAATTTATTCCTGCAAATTTTGTTGTGGTTTTTCATTATTTTGTTTTGTTTTTAATATATTTTATTGATTTGTTACACAGAGGAAGGGAGAGGAATAGAGAGTTAGAAACATTGATGGGAAAGAAACATTAATCAGCTGCCTCCCGCACACCTACAACTGGGGATGTGCCCACAACGAAGATACCTGTCCTTGACCAGAATCAAATCTGGGACCATAAAGTACGCAGGCCGACGCTCTCTGCACTGAGCCAAACCGGTCAGGTTCCTTCATCATTTTTCTGTCAAAGAATATATTGTTAGTGTGTAGAAATTGAACTCGTATCTATATATTTATGTTGCATCCTGTAACCTTTCTGAATTTAATTCTTTATTCTTCTGTTATCTTCACCTGAATAGTGAGGATATTTTTTTCATTGATTTTTGTTTTTTTTTTTTAGAGAGAGTGTGGGAGACAGAGAGAGAGAGACAGAAATCGATGGGTTCCCTCCCACATGTGCCCCTACTGAGAGTGTGGATCGGACCAGCAACCCAGTACCTGCCTTTGACTGGGAATCGAACCCTTGTCTTCCAGTGCACAAGCTAGCACGCTCCTCAGTGAGCCACACTGCCTAGGGCTCTTTATTCTTTAAATTATTTATTTATTTAAATATATGTATTTTTTATTTCCTAGAGGAAGGGGAGAGAGAGATAGGTACATCAGTGATGAGAGAGAGTCATTGATCAGCTGCCTCCTACACGACCCCCACTGGTGATTGAGCTTGCACCAGTGGAGGTGTCCTAACAAAGAATCGAATTGTGACCTCCTAGTTCATGAGTCAATGCTCAATCAGTGAGACATACCGGTAGCATTTATTTATTGATTTGAGAGACTGGAAGGGAGACAGAAAAGGAGGGAAACACTGATCAGGTGTTCTACCCACCTCTGCATTCATTGGTTGTCCCCTACATGTGCCCTGATGGGGGATCAAATCCACAACCTTGGTGCATCAGGAGCGCACACTCACCAACTGAGCCACCTGGACAGGATTCTGAATTTCTTTATTAATTTCAGAATCTCATAGTGGGATCTTGACAAATTTCTCTATGGAGGATCATGTCATGTGCTAACATCACCATCTCTTATGATGCATTGTGGTTCATTGTGATAGGTGTAATGTCTTATCTTTCATGTGTTGTTTTTTTAAAATATATTTTATTTAATTTTTTTAAAATAAATCTTTATTTTTCAGATTATTATAGTTGTTCCTCTTTTTTACTCCCATAGCTCCCCTCCACCGGGTCCCCACCCCATCCTCTGCCCTTACCCACCCCTGCACTGTCCTCATCCATAGGTGTACAATTTTTGTCTAGTCTCTTCCCACACCCCAGCCCTTTCCCCCTGAGAATTGTCAGCCACTCCCTTTCTATGCCCCTGATTCTATTATATTCACCAGCTTACTCTGTTTATCAGATTTTTTATTCACTTGATTTTTAGATTCACTTGTTGATAGATATGTATTTGTTGTTCATAATTTTTATCTTTACCTTTTTCTTCTTCTTCCTCTTCTTTTTTTTTTTAATATATTTTTATTGAATTTTTACAGAGAGGTAGGGAGAGGGATAGAGAGTTAGAAACATCCAGGAGAGAGAAACATCGATCAGCTGCCTCCTGCACACTCCCCACTGGGGATGTGCCTGCAACCAAGGTATATGACCTTGACAAGAATCGAACCTGGGACCCTTGAGTTGACAGGCTGTTGCTGTATCCACTGAGCGAAACATGCTAGGGCTTCTACCTCTTCTTGAAGAATACCTTTCAGCATTTCATATAATACTGGATTGTTGGTGATGAACTCTTTTAGCTTTTCTTATCTGTGAAGCTCTTTATATGACCTTGATTCTAAATGAATGCTTTGCCGGGTACAGTAATCTAGGTTATAGGTTCTTGCTATTCATCACTTTGAATATTTCTTGCCACTCCCTTCTGGCTGCATAGTTTCTGTTGAGAAATCAGCTAACAATTGTATGGGTGCTTCCTTGTAGGTAACTAACTGTTTTTCTCTTGCTGCTTTAAAGATTCTCCCTTTGTCTTTTGCTCTTGGCATTTTAATTATGAAGTGTCTAAATGTGGTCCTCTTTGGATTCCTTTTTTTGGGGGGAGGAGGAGCTTTGGATTCCTTTTGTTTGGGGTTCTTTGCGCTTCCTGGACTTGTAATTCTATTTCTTTCACCAGGTAGAAGTTTTCTGTCATTATTCCTTCAAATAGGTTTTCAATATCTTGCTCTGTCTCTTCTTCTTGCATCTGGATAATTCAGATATTGGTATGCCTGAAGTTGTCCCAGAGGCTCCTTACACTATCTTCTTATGTTTTCATTCTTTTTTCTTTTTGTTTTTCCTGTTAGGTGTTTTTTGCGTCTTTGTATTTCAAATCTTTGACTTGATTCTTGTGATCCTCTTGTCTGCTGTTGGATCTCTGTATATTATCCTTTTTTTAAAAAAATATGTTTTACTGAGTTTTTACAGAGAGGAAGGGAGAGGGATAGAGAGTAGGAAACATGGATGAGAGAGAAACATCGATCAGCTGCCTCCTGCACACCCCCTACTGGATATGTGCCTGCAACCAAGGTACATGCCCTTGACCAGAATCGAACCTGGGAACCTTCAGTCTGCAGGCTGAAGTTCTATCCACTGAGCCAAACCGGTTAGGGCTCTGTATATTATTCTTTATATCACTCAGTGTATGCTTAATTTCTAGTTGGTCTTATTTCATATCCTCAAGGGTCTCACTAAATTTATTGGCGGTTTCTAGAAATTTCTTGAAAAACCTTATAACCGAGGTTTTGAACTCTATATCTAGTAGTTTGCTTTCCTCCATTTCTGACATTTGTGACCTGTCTCTTTGTCTCCGCATTTTTTATGCTTCCCTGTGTTGGTAGAGTGGCCTTCTGTCCGAGGTGTCCTATCGGTTCCTGTGGCTCAGCCTCCCCAATTACCTGATGTGGACTCTCTTGGTGCACCCCTTTGCGGGCTTTGTACACAGTCTTGTAGTTAAGCCTTGATTGTTGTAGGTATCACTGGGAGGAATTGACCTCCAGTCCAGTTGGCCTTGAGAATCAGCTGTGTCCACAATGGGAGAACTTCTATGCTGGAGACACCCTTCTGGGGCAAGACATGCTTCAGTGGGGCTTGGGTGCTCACTGAGTTTTCCCCCTGAGTGTGTCCCTTATGGATCTGAGGAGTTGTAATCATGATGGTCCCACTCTGACCATGAGTACACTGACTCTTGGATCTCTAAGGAGGTGCTAATTTAGCCTCTCCCTGAGGATACCCAGCAGTAGCTATGGAGAGATCTGCAGATTCCTTTTCCTTGTTTCAGGTTTGGAGGTGTCCCAATGAGGCCCAACTGTGAAGCAGTGCAAGC